TTTGCTGAGATACTTGATTATAGCATCGCCGGAAGTGATGCGAAACACTTCTGCTGGGCGATCCAGATTGTGTGGATGGGGACAGGAACATGCCTGTTGTGGAGAATTCGCGTATAGCTGACGAATTGCAGTATGTAGAACCGATATCTATGGAGGAGATGCCGGTAGGATGGCGTAACATGGTCGATAGTAGATGGGGTCATGATGTCTCCACCAACTCTCCTCCACAACAGCTTGATCAGTCCTCCTTTTCATCTTTTGTAAGCATAACAGTAACAGACTCGAGCGCTTGTGCTTCCGCCATGTCAATTTTCCGACCGACAATCGCCGGGCTGCCGTTAGCTCCAACCGGTAGCTGTCCGGTCCGCTCAAGATGCAGCTTGATTCTATTTTCGATGTACTCCCTCCTTTCATCGAACTTGGCGTCGTTCTCCAGAATATCGCTGGACTTCGGTAGAGAAACAAGCTTGGGCCGGAGCTGCCTCAACATTGCTTGCAGTGCAGGAAGTTGGGACAGAATGAAAGTAGTATTCGTTGTGAGCGGTGTATACTGAGTACTCGGGCCAGTATCAACACCCACGCGTAGTTGATGGGCAGCCTGACTGGACGTCAAGAACGAAAGGTCAAGGTCCTTATCTTGTTTTGGTAGAAGTGTTCCGACCTTGCCCTCTCCATTTGTGTCTTTTGCGACATTGGGTGCTTGTGCTGCCGACAATATCGATCGTAACTGTGAGATTACAGCCTCGTTTTGCGCGCTCTCGCGTTTCAAAGATCGGTTCAATTTCTTGGTCTCATTCAACTTTTTGCGGAGCGCGTGGATCGTTTCAGGAGTAGGCGCATTCGGGGAAGGATCAAGAACAAGTTTCTGCATGAGTTGAAAATCAATACATGTTCAAGCGGCGCAGGGATGTCAAGGCGCGCAGTCGCGACCACCGGATCTCATACCTCATGATGGCTCAATCTGATCCAGTTCAACAAGTCATCGGGCACGGTGAAGATGTTGCGCAGGACGTAGATCTCGAATTTATCKAATGCCTTGTCCACGGTCGCCTCGAGGAGCGTTTCTAGCTGGTGTAGTCCATTCTCGAGTTCCAGTTTGGCTTCCGGGTAAACAACGTTGCCATCTTCATCTGTATCGGGTATCGTAGAGGCATTATTTGCATGCGCAAAGCCCAAGCGTTCGGGCGGAGTTGCGAGTAAGCCTGACTCGAGGCTCGAGATGGCCTGGTATATGAGATTATTGATTGAGTTTATAATATCATCTATGAGAGACTGTGAAGAATTAGCCACATGATACGGCAAAAGATTTCGCGTTCGCAACTACAAATCGGAAGACGATCTCGGTGGGAGGAAAACGAACCAAGGGTGTATAGCTGAAATGCTCTGTGAGCAAGGAGGTCGTCACGTCATTCATACTGACATAGGTGAAATCATCCGACAGTACTTGGAGAAGGGGACCTGATCGGCTGACGCGAAAAGCGCGAAGGCGGGAGAAGACTATATGGACGCGGACGGCACTTGATGTTTTTGCTGGTCTGTGTTGCAGAGCTATGATTTAAAGAGGCGACGTCTTCCGATAGGAAATCTGTTATGGTACAACTCGCGGTGACGATGCAAGGACCACGATAGTACGTGGTGTTTCTTCAAGGAACTGTAGTGTTATCTGTTTCCACATCGGCATCGCCTGTCGAATGTGGGCAGACACAGGCCTGGTTATATAGATACACTCTAGGACTAGGGAATGCAATCAGTAGTGCGTATCAGGATGACAGTACAGTACACACCAAAACAGTGGAGGTGTTGCTAGATATAGCATCCGTCTCCGAGGTGCTAAATTGGTTCATATTCCTAAAATCTGGGCCGTTTCATTCAAGAAAGTCCGATATGGTGTAGTGGCTAACATCGCCGTCTCTCACACGGCAGCCGGGGGTTCGATTCCCTATCGGAGCTCAGTTCTCTTTTTGGTTTTTAATTTCTGCCCTCTCTAAACTCGTCATTTGTGTACTTACTGTCTGTCAACCCAGGGCGTTGCTTTGGGATGATTCACCAAAGCTTCGGGCTAGTCAGTGATTGCCAACCGGATCTTAGCATATCACTCATAATGAGTCATCCCCTTATTGAGCAGTCACACCATGATTGAGGATGCCGCGCCACAATTTTGACTCATCCGAAGCAATAGCCAAGCTAGGATTGGTCGAAAGCAACTATCACTTTCGCATCAGTTGCAGCCCAGACCAGCTAGCCCCATATCACGACGAGGCATGCCAGAATCAAGTGCTATTGAAGTCATTACAGGGAGACCAGGTGAAGTAACCGAAGTCACTCTTTGTTACGGTTACAGGAGTCGACTTCTCAAGGTGAATCTTATGTGCAGACATGACGCCGTATTCAGGGTATAAGTATGATGGGCATGCCCTTCGAAACTCGAACCGTGTCGAAAGATAGATCAACATTCACATTGGGATTGGAATCTTTTAAATATTCGTTGTTGACCATGGCGTCTGATCTATCCGCTGTATCCCAGGAACATAAGACTGGCAACAACTCAGCAACCAGTGCACAGAATGAAGATATCTCAAGCTCATCGCCAACTGCAATACCTCACACAGAGCCTGATGAATCGCGTGACTATGCCTCGTCGACGTCAAAAAGTTCAACTTCCGCGGAAAACAGACTACGGCCAGCGGCAGGTATTGTGCTTTCAAACCACTTTACACCAACATTGATTGACAAGATTGGGTACAGACGTCATTAACAGGCTCATTTGGGACACCAAATTTGACAGTAACGACTACACCATTGGATATGAGGACCGATTTAATGGACGTTTGGAGGCGAACCTGAGCTCATGGAAGAAGGATCTGACCGACGAAGAGTTCATTCCGCAGCATCGCATACTCTATATCAGACGCAAGTCTGACGGGGAAATCGTCTGGGACAAAAGAAGGAGGACCGATAAGATCTTCCTGAGTGGAAATTCTGCTTTCGACTTTCTGGGGTTTCTTGCTTAGGAGTGGAAGACGCCCAAGCAGGCATAACCTCAGTTCCTTTTAGTGTATCAATACTCTGCACGCCGGTGCCTTACCATCTTATGAATTGTACTATTCTGGTGGACCCTTTAGTTTTTAATTCTTTCCCTCCATTGTCGTCCTTGGGTGTTTGCTTCCTGCCGTGTGGAAGTGTAAATGAACTTTCCTTATCCCGCACTCAATTGCAGGAAGGTGCGCAGAAGCCATGCGCCAAGTCAAGCCAGACGACCCGAAGTCGGAAGGAAGGGAAAACTGTTCTGTGTGTGCTGGTCTTTCTTTGCTTCTCTCTCTTCCTCAGCTTACCAGCGATCATCAGCCATGGACTCAAGTTCAAGCTCCGGCGGGTGGAGAGTCCGTACAAGGAACTCAATGAGGTCAGTTTCAAGTCGAACAGGCACTCTAAGGAATTGATCTGACGATTATTTGCTAGAATGGACCTCTCTTTCCTGAGAAGACGTCACAACTACTCGACGACCTCATCCACAAGTCTTTCTCCAACTGTACCGGTGCTCCAATCCCCAGCAATGTTCCAAGCGTTGACGAGCAAAACGGTCCCGGAAGAGACTCTGAAACAAAAGAACAAATTGGAAAGAGCTGCAATTAAGCCGTCCATGTTCTTCGAGGATAAAGAGGAAGATGACAATGTTGCCCCTGATTTGAAGCATGGCGTTTCTCCCGATGCTCAATCAATCCACGTCGCGCACAGGAGCGTTGATGATGAGCAGTCACCTCAGACAAAGAGTCGCTACTTCGAAGACCTGTTCAACACTCGTGGCCCGCTTATCTCCCCAAGAACTCGCATCAGCAATGACTCCGTCGTTGTGATCGAAATCAAGGCGAACTCGAGGGTGTGTAAAATCATAGATTCATGGTCGTTATCTGCGCTAACCCCCTTGTTTTAGATTAGTTACGACGATTCCAAGCTTGCCTCTGACCTGACTAGCCGTTTGGCTCAAATCTATCAGAAGCCCGATGCCTTCATGATGGTTACTATTCAGCAAGATGCATGCCTCTATTTTGGCAACTCCGCACTTCCCGCGTATTTGATGAAAGTCTTCGCCTTGCCATATCTCATCGCGCCAATCACCAACCTGCGAAACACAATACTTATTCAAGCAGCACTTCAGGACCTGCTTCATGTCGCGCCGAGCAGGGGTGTTGTCTTGTACATCCCAATATCTGAAGAGAACTTCGCAACAAATGGAGTGACTATGATGGGGGAAATCGCCCGGCTAGAAGGCCACGCCGAGGACCAGGATGCAGGGATACTCAGAAGTATCTCACGGTCGATGAGGCGAAGGATGAAATCAAACAGCACCACTAGTGCACCCTTGTCTGTGGCAACTACTTCCTCTTGGACTCCTGGATTCGATCCGCGTCGGCGGGAGTGGAACGATGATGGAAGAAGGAATGTTTCCAGTGAAGGGGAATCTAACACAGTCAGAAAGTCTAGGAGCATGCGAGACTTCGTTTACCCCGCCCTTCAGGCCTCGGATCTGTAGGCGATGTTCATCAAAATCTGCCTAGTCCACCTGTCCATTCTTTACTGCGGCTTTGATCGATAATGGTGAGGGCGTATATTGTTTACTTTTCTTGGGAAATTGGGTATTGCTAGCGATGTTAAATGAACGCAGTGTGAAGCAGTATGAGAGGTCTGAAGCCACATGTAGCTAATTCATTAGGGCTCTAATTACAATCGTTCATTGCGTTATAGACTTTCCTTGCTAGGCCTGTAATGGCACAGTTAGGCTCGTATCCCAGCCTCTTTCATTGCAGTGACTCATCACTTGGCTTCTCTGACTTCGTTTTACGCATAAGCAATACCTCTCGTAGTGTGCGAGTTTTAATTGTTACAAGAATAGTGGAGGATACCTGCTCATTTTCACTTATCCTAACACCACTGACCTCGACGTAAAGGTCTGTTCCACCACTCACTCTCACACGGTATCGAATTCTCCAGTCTCAACCACAATGGATCTACCTTCAGTACAAAGCAAAATAACAGAGACTGAGGGCAATCTTTTTCATGCTCCAGACGGTGCAGCTCTAATCCGTGAGCAAACCCCTTGATTTATAATCCCACGCGGTAGCTGATTTGCTAGACAGACGCCTGCAATTGCCAAGGGTCTTGGGGCAAGGGCATCGCGACGGCCTTCAAAGATAAGGTAACCCAACACTCCGAATTGAATCTCCTCTTGAGCTCTTCGGGTAACTTACCTTCTAAAATAGTATCCAGCTGCCTTTGCGATCTACCGTTCCCACTGCCAGAATCTCCTGTCCAGCCCCAGGTACAGGCCTGAGCCTGCGGCGCGGAGCGAAGAGTCCCAAGCAAGAAACTCTCGAAGCGTACGACTACCAGAGGGCACTGCATTGATCATCCCTCCTCAGAAGAGAGACTCCGAGGCGAACGGCAAGAAACACTGGATCATTTGCTTATTCACGTCCCGCGGCTTTGGGCGGGCCGTCAGTCCACCGGATGTCATCATCAAGAATACCGAGCTTGCTGTGGCGGATATGAAAAGGCAGCTTGCGGAATTACGGGCGGATCACTCTTCTCAGGAAGGGTCGGTTGGTGAGTTGTGGTCTTGCCAGTTCAATTCTGGTTTATTTCGGGTTCCTTGGGCACGCTCGCGGAGGGTGTTGGAAGAAGCTGGGCTGGAGGTTACTGTAGTTCGGCCTCATGGGGCATGATGGCTTTCTTGTTGATAAAGGTTGTATGTAGAGTGAGTTGAATGTATTATGTATTTGCAATTAGTGTCCACACTGACTGCATCATCTTCATGAGAAAGGGTTGTACTCTGTACTTAGTTCTATATTTATGCTACTAAGGTAGTGTGGAGAATGAGAGCACACACAAATCCCAACAACAAAGTATTACAATTACCTAATGCTTGTGTACACAGGTTGCAAGTAATGGATTTTCTAGCGTCCTAAGCATATAAAACCACAAATCAAGACGAGTGACGACGTTCAAGAAGGCCTAAAGGGTGAAGGATACAGATACTTTGAACCACGTGACTTCGCGTTTCGGCCGCGGCTCGTGTCTTCGGCCTCTCCATGTCTGAAGCCAGGCTTCCGATCACGAAGCATACACATACTACCGGGAAAAAAGCGACTTGATCCAGTGATCAAGTATCTATAACAATGCCTCCCGAACGACAAGGCACCCAAAAGCGCCGGCGCCTCCCCTTCAACCCCCCACGACCGCGAGACACCATCACCGCCGCGGGGCCCTCAGCCTCCGCCTCAGCATCATCCACCAAAGCCAAACCTCCTTCCAAAGCCGCCAAGAACACAGCCAATGCAACAGCATCCTCGTCAAAGGGCACGCGCAAGCCCACCGGTGGTTCTACATCGGCCTCCTCTTCTCGCCAGAAAGCTCCCGCCCGACCTAGCGCCGCAGCTTCAGACTCAGGCTCCGAATCGCAGTCCGGATCTGAAGGCTCGGACTCTGGCAGTCAAGATCGCGAGAGATCACCTTCTGAAGAACCGGACTACATTCTAGCGGAGATTATGAATAATGATGAGGCGGATGACGTGATGTCGAGCGAGCCTGCTATCCCGCCCAAATTGCTCACCAGGTTGTTACACCATCATTTCAAGAGTGAGAAGACGAAAATTGCGAAGGATGCGAATGAAGTTGTGGCTAAGTATGTGGATGTCTTTGTGAGAGAGGCGTTGGCTAGAGCGGCGTATGAGAGGGCAGAGGGGTTGGCTGATCGTCCTGGGGGGATATCGATTGGAGACGGGTTTTTGGAGGTATGATACCGCTCTGAATTGGAGCGAGACCGCGGAAAAAGCTATTGAATTGATTTACTGACATGTGGGTATAGGTCGAGGATCTCGAGAAGATGGCTCCGCAACTTGCGTTGGACTTTTAGCTTCGTTTTGTTTGGTTGTTGGCCTGGGATTGGAGTTCAAGGAGTCTCATTTTGTCTATGGTTGAGATACCAGTTGCATGACTATGATAGCATGAAACATCTATGTCCGAGGAGTATGAGATGCATTGATTAGACATGGCTTGAAGGACACAGGGTCTATTCGAGAGACGCTAATGACACAAAACGCTATGCAAAAACGTGAAATCTATTTAACGTGATATCATGACCTCGACATTTGTCATGGAGGATGAAGGCCAATATATATGTGCTGATTTGAAGCTTCCGGAATGAGCAAGCCATTGGACTAACCACTGACCAGACGATCCGGTGTCGCTGTACCCGGGGTTGCAGCTTCAACTGGGTCAACTTTAAAGTCTGAAGCCGCTTTTGATCCTGACGAACCGTCTTTCTGAGCCTTATCTTCTTCTGCAAGTTCCTTTTTCTTCGGTCTCAAAGCTCCATTCTCCATGGCTTCCTCCGGCAAAGGCCGAATGTGAGGTTGACAAACCCACCAGGGTCTGCCATATTCGGCGATTGTTGCCTTGGAGCCTTTCAAGTCTGCATTAGGAGCCGCTTCAAAACGCTCTGGATATTGTTCGTATTCGTCGAGACCTTCCTTGACTGCTTGTTCGACGAGGAACAGAGTGTGCTCGAACGCTGCCATATCACCCGGCCTGGACCTTGCAAGCGCATCTCGAACATTCGTGTGCTTCGACACCATTGTACGCAGGATCTGGAAAAGATGCCCTTGCATCACTCCGAGACTGGGAGAATGCGGTCTCTTCGACTTGTCCCGTTTCTGCTTCTTTTTCGGAGGGCCATCCTCAGCCTCCGCTTCCCCTGATCCTGTATGTGACACCTGCTCGGGCTCTTCGGGATCTGAAGGGAGGTAGAGAGGTTTCCGCTCTGGAACTGGGACTTCCAGGACATATTGGTAGATGATATCCAAGTATCGGCGGAAGATAGCGTCGATACGGTATCCGCCCTTTCCATTTGTACCCCTCCAATACTCACGTCCTTCGCTACCAACGGGGGGAGGTTTGCTGAAGATGGCAGGATCGGACAGGTTACCCTCCGCGCTCATCACACCGTCCGCGCCTGTTACCTCAAGACAACGTTCCAGATCATCATGGTTCAGATTGTTCCCATTTGCGAAGATGACCGTCTCTGGTGGTAAATTGTCGCGCAGATACCGAATGTAGCTCCAGTCTGCCAAACCTGTGTTGTGACCCTTTTGCTCCCTTGTGCGTCCGTGAAGCGTGATTATGCTAGCTCCAGCAGACAATATCATTTTCGCATACTCCAGCGTCTTCTCTTTCGACTCCTGTATGCGGAACTTGGCTGTAACGGGGATGGGAAGCTCCTTATGCAGTCGGTTGATCAGTTTGTAAATCAAGTCCCAGTCCTCTTGGAGGAACGCTCCATAATGGCCCTTCCGCGCAATACCTTGGGGGCATCCAAGATTGAGATCGACAGCGTCGCAGTAGGGTGCCACGTGTTGGGCAGCTTCTAGAAAATCATCGGGATCATTGGCGCAAAACTGTACGAAAAGCGGCCTGTCAAACGCAGGGTTGCCGTCAAGGTAGAGGGAATTGTCATTCTTGTCGAGACCGGCTCGGGTAGGCTGGAAATGTTGCCAGCGAACAATCGCTTGCTCTCGAAACAAACGCGCATGATACATGGGGGAGTAGGCGAGAATTGGTTTCGGGTCATCGGGTGGCATGAACGAACGAGTCAGCATGCGCCAGGCCTGGGAGATGGATCGTTAGTCCGGATTGCGCTGATAGGAGAGGCACGGGCCATACAAATTCGGATCTGTCCACCATAGGTGCCACAATATACTTGGGACTGCCTATGCTCTCATAAAACTCTCTGCCGTATAGCTTCTTCCGGGGCTCCGCACTTGCGCTCTCAGGCGCCTTTTGCGGAGCAGGCTGCGTCTCTGACACTGCCATTTTTGCAAAGAATCGACGTCGGAGACTAAAGGATAATGGCCCCAGCAGTGGGGTAAGAAAGCGCACAGTCCCTATAGTGGCTGATAGAGAAGAAACAGATAATCTAGAAGATCCTGACTTCGTTTGTGGCTTCCAGGCCAGTCTGATCAACATTGCCCTTTTTTTTTTTTCCTGAGCGGCGATTATCCGGAACGGAAAAACAACAGAGCGGGTCTTATCTTATCACTGAGCATCGCCAGTGTCGCCGTTTTGCCATGAGTACGAAGTAGAATCGAGAAGTTTCGTAAACAACCGAGGTTATTGAGGTGGCCTATCGGCCAATTGGCCGACAGGTCCGCGAATGAATATAATAATAATAATAATAATAATGGAACTACCCAGTTACCACTGGACAGCAGTGTGCAACCCTAGGAGCCCTTTGAATCTGCATCAACACGTCCGGCCTCTAGTAAGAGCTTCACCACCACCTCGTGGCCCCGGCGCGCAGCCCAGAATAGTGGTGTTCTGGCGTGGATATCGGTGACCCAAACCTGAGCTCCTTGAATACTGATTTGAGCTGTTGCGGTCCACTCGCTTGGTGATTGCCGTAGGTGGACGCGGGGTCTTGCGGATCTTGGTGAATATCATTCTTGCCAGCTGCACCACACGCGATTCTAGAGGCAAGCCCCACCGCAGAATGTAATCCATCCATGATTGACCTCTTTTGTAGGAACACTAGCTAATGCTCACAGGAACATCATGAATCTCCCGCTCGAGATCTTCGAGCTAATCATCAGCTCGCTCCTCCCGGTCGACGCGCAGGGAGACGTAATACTCTACCATCAGCAAGAACTATCCGATCTGCGCCTTGTCTGTCGTACGTCCGTGAAGCATAATTGATCACGACTATCGGACTGACCTTGTTTTCAGGCATCTTTGATGAAGTATGGTCCCGCTGCTTTGTCTCAGGGGTCTGTGCTAGCTACAACCACCCCCCGAGTGATATTCAACATGAGTGGCCGTCGGATTCGGTAATTTGGGTTGTCAGAACTGTCCTGTTAACACATTCCCGGCGGAGACGGGGGAGCGCTGCATCTTCTAGAGAAAATGTGTTGGGCTATATCTTCGCAACGGCGGACTCTATTAGTCATTTTCTTTTGGAACGTCAAGCGGATAAGAATGAAAAGGTGGATCTTCTAGAGGAGTCCATCCATCTAGTAAGCATGGCGTTCGTGTTCAACAACGAATTTAAGGAGATAATGCATCATCTTGGACCGGGTCTCTGGAAGTCGCCCCGTACCGTCGAAGTGAACGTGGTCGATGGGCTCGAGTTAGCTGTGACAAGTTCAGATCTTCTCCCATTACTAGTCCTACGCGGCAACGTCCAGTCCGTCCGTGACTTCCTGTCCAACGAAAAGGCAGATAATATAAACCATTGCAACAAACTCTTTGGAAGTGCACTCTACAACGCCGCCGCCCTCAACGAGCTGGAGATAGTCGAGCTACTTCTCGCCCACGGCGCAGACGTGAACCACATTGGAGGGCGATGGCACACGCCTCTCCAGGCATCAGTCGCCTACATGAACGCCACAGCCGTGCTCTCGGTCCTCCTCAAGGCAGGCGCAGACGTGAACCTCCAGGGCGGATGGGCCGTGAATAACAAACGAACAGTGCTCATGACTTCCGCGCACGCCAATAACCGCGAAGCCGTGTCAATCCTCCTCTCGCGAAAAGATGTCGATGTGAATCTTCTCAGCTGTGACGAAGAATCTATCGTGCATTATTTATGTCGAGCTGGGGATGGGAACAATCTGCGAAAGCTACTTGCTGAACATCCAGATGCTGATGTCAAGCACAAAGGAGAGTTCGGAACGGCATTGCATGCGGCGATGAATCTGGCTCATTATCAGTTTACTGAGGGACATGATGAGGTTGTAGGAATTCTGTTGGAGCTGGGTCTCTCGCCGTATGATGTTTCAATGGGGTGTGAGACTGACATCGTGGGATGGGCGGAGAATATCAAGGAGGAGGCGGAGGAGGACGAGGCGGAGATTCCGGCTGCTGTGCAGCGGATACTTGGGTGGCGGGATGCGAAGAGACGAGCTCTTGAAGAGAGACGAGGCAATATCCTTTAACGTCGCCAATGTATAATGCACACATTCCTTCCAGGATGCCTGAGCCTGGAAGATGGCCCCCCTGGATCAGAGCCTAGAAGGTTAATTGATTCTCTAGTTGGGGTGTGTTGGGGAAGAGTCCTGTCCACGGAAAGAAGCTCCGCAATGGGCCGGATACGGACTCGATACATGTAAAGGATCCGGCTCGCACGGGCAGGGAGGAACTGGGCCACATTAAACTCATGCCCAGTAAACTGCCTCCTCTTCGTATGTCGGATTACGTATATAACCTCTGCCTGATATTTCAAGTCATGCTCGTGATGGGAACCCCGTGCCTGTTATCTTGTCAAGTTGAGGTTGGAAGAAATTCGATCGGTGCAGGCGTACAACGATGGATCTGAACTTCAATCAGATGCTCATTGGGGTTGAAAACACAGTGAAGATACTTGCAACATCTAGCAAAATGTATCTGCTGCTTGAAGACATCGACACCGCTGAGCTCAGTATTTCCACGGCCCAACCAGCACCTCTAAATGATGTAGGGCAATCTCGTGAACATCGTGTTCCCACAGGCATTTCACAGTCCGCACTTTTGAATTTAATCGATGGCATTGGGGCAAAGGAAAGGCGCATCCACATTCTGACGGCCAATCATGGCAAACTGGACGACGTCCTGATACGCCCAGGTCGAACTGTCCTTTTTTGTTCCCGAAAAGCCTCGATTTCACCCTCAACGACTATGTGGCGCCGTAATGGTCTCAGGGACAACGAGCCACGATCTTGCCTCTATGACCAAGAAGTATAGTATGAAATTCTGGCTGGTCTCTCCACAGTACTAGAAGATGAGCCGGGGGTGACGATAGGGCATCACACTTGATCATTTCCTTAATTGCTCAGCCTCTATACTAGGACACGTGGATTCATTGAGAATGACATTGTGACTAGAAATGACCTCCAATTTTGGCGGTAGTCTACAATCTATACCGGCTTACATAATCCGAACAGGAGCTTGGCGGTGTTTATTCTCCCAAAACGGGTAATGAAAGACAGCAACAGTCAATTGGGACTTCTTCTGTAACCTTTTAGAAGAGTGGTATAGCTCATATACAGAGCATTATGAGTAACAATTGACTTATTCGCTCCCGAGAACTTGCTGGAGGACTGACAAATTTACTGGCTGCGTGTTATACGCTTGAAGCGAACAATAATGGACTCCGCAGGAGCTGCAGGTGAGTCCAATGTGCACATACCACAAAATCCGACAGCTTCATGACCAGGGTGACAGGCTCATCGGCAGCTTTTCTATCGGATGACGGAGCCTTTGCAGCTCAACTCAATGGCAAAGATCTCATCATTCACCTCAATCCTGTGTCTTTGGACTTTAAAGAGGTAGAAATTGTTAAGCTCAAAGAGACACCGACTAGGTTCTTGAGATTTTCGCGCCCAAAGCAACTCGCTCAGTCAGACACCATAGGCAGCCAAGAAGAGAGCGCAGGACGACGTATCCTGTGTGCTAGCGATTCCCGCATTCTGGTCTGGGACCTTCATCCCCTGCAGCTGCACGCTGAGATCGAGAATATCGAATCCGGTGCTCTGAACATTGACTTTGGAGCCGACGAAAACGAGATTATTGTATTCCATGCATGGAACACAAAGTTAACGATCCATTCGCTGGACAGTGGTCGAAGCCAGGTCATCAAATCTCCAAAGTTCTCTCATCATAATGGCTTCGGCTTCCGACCGCGAACGCGACAGTGTGCAATCCTATTGAAGCCAGAAACGTCCGATTTGTTGACCATCCATGAATATCTGTCTTATGAGCTCGTTAGTCGAGTTAACCTACCGACGTCGGATGCCCAGGGCTTGAAATGGAGCCCCGATGGGAACTGGATCGCCGTCTGGGATGCGGCAAGTGCGGGTACCAAACTCTTAATATATACAGCGGATGGAAGTCTTTTTAGAGCCTACAACGGCTCGCCTGAATCAGAAAGCGTTTTTGACCTCGGGGTGAGAAGCATAGAATGGAGCCCAGCCATTAGCCAAGGCCATACTTCGGATCTGTTAGCGGTTGGGAAGGTTGATGGGACGATAGACATTCTGAACACCAAGACGGTAAGTTCTTGTCCTCCGAGCTCTGTTTCTTGCTCGAGACCTCTCATTGTGATTACGAGTAATCCTAACAATTGGTCCAGTTTTCTTGTTCTATGAACCTGTCGCATACCTTCCCAATGGACCAGCCCTCGCTGAGCGCCTGGCATGAGAGATCTGTGACGGCAGATGGGAGTCTTGGATACACCAAGTTGCCAGCATCTTCTGCCTTTAGCATGATTTCAGAATCGACTGGTCCACCTCGGGGCGCATCCATCATGACGTTTAGTGCCAACGGTGCTTTTCTCAGCACAGTCGATCAGACACGACCCAATGTCGTCTGGATCTGGGATTTGAAATCAGCGCCCGGTCTCGTCTCAGCTTTACTTCACGACCATCCGGTCCGACAAATCGTATGGCACCCTTCGAGGACCGAGTTCCTTGTAACTACATCTAATAGTCTTGTCCCCGCTGTCCGATATTGGTCGCTTGACAAACACCCGTCAATTATCCCAATCCCGATTTCGCGAAGTGAAGGGGGAAAATACGACGTAAGATGGTTGCCTTCACGTCAAGACGATATGCCAGCTTTATGGTTCGGAACGCTCGAAGAATACGTGCTTGGTCATCTCGAATTGCAGGACGGCGCTCAGCAGTTCAAAGTGGCCTACAGTGTGGATAACAAGTTCTCAAACAATCATTACTCGAACACGAGCAGATGATGCTGAATTCAGTTAGGCTATCGTGGATAACTATGACGACTAATGAATTGTTATGATAGGTATTCTATCCTTCTACCTAGGGACTTGCACCCGTCCG